CTGGTTGCTGATTTAAACCAGAATTAAAGTAAGTAAATCAATTCAATCTATTGTTCAGTAGCAGAATGTAATCATATGTTCTGAGAATCATGGCCATTTAAATATCATAAGACTTTGAAGTCTGTGACAAAAAGCAACACACATTTCTGAGCGAGCTTAAAAAAAAAAGAAACAAATTCAGAACACAAAACCTGGATTCTTTCCACTTCATGGTAATTCCCCAGCATTCCCTGCCTTCCTCCTTTCTCTCCCTCCAGGGAGGTTAATTGTAAGCAGATTTACTAATCTGAACATTGCTTCAGTGCATTGAAGCAATCTGGAACAATAACTCTGTGCCTTTTTAAACATAATTTTGCTCTATTAGAGCTCACTGCAGATGAGGCTGATGCCAGCACAGAGGGCTGTTCTGACTACACCACAGTACATGGTCTGGGAGTGTGTCTGAGATGGACCCAATGGTTCACCAAGCACAGTGAAAATGCTTGCAGGCTACATTTTGTAAAAGAGGAAGGATGGAAGTGGAAGAGTTGCTAGGCTAAGCTGAGCAGTTGTAGCAGAAGGAAGCTTCGCTTTCCTTCCCCTGTACCCTGGAATAAATCCAGTTTAGGTTTTCCTTTAGGGTAGGTTTCACCTTACAAACTATACATTCCAGCATCCTGATTGAAAGAGTCTATTTTATCATGTAGACTTCTGCCCAGCTTCCCGCGTGCTCCCTTAATTGTGCAAGGCAGCAGTGTTCGTGTGACCTCTCGTTAACTCCTGAGGACTGAGGTCCATGCATTCAGACAACAGAGTGCTTCTTGCTGACACCTGGGGTCAGGCCAAGGATGGTGCTTCAACATTAGCTTAGAGATCACGTAATCAAAGGGCAAAGGTTAGTTTCCTAAGGCTCTCAATCACATAATAAGGCAGTGTCAGCCTTACTGCCTTCTCACTTCGGTGACAGCAAAAAAAAAAATCCTACGTGATCACAATTTGTGTCTACAGGTCAATTAAGAAAAAATTAACAGGCTGCAAGGATATAAAGGAGAGAGATCTTTTGGAGTGGGGCTCAGAGCTTCAACTGCACCTACACACTCCTGAATGAGCATCTGAGCACTCACAAATGAATTTACAACAAGACCTGAACATGACACACTGCCAGTGGAAGGTTTGGCTCTGGGCTGTTCTACTTAGAGGTGCAACTCAGGTTGCAGGAACACAAGCTCAGGAGTTTTTGAAGCCAGGGATCTGAGAAAAGACAGCAGGGCTTTGTTTCAAAGTCTGTTTTACCCGGTTACAGGATGATAAGCCTGCCATCACTGAGTCGTTTCCCCTCACACCTTTTGTCTTGTCTGTTTGGAGCACAAACTTTTTGCAACAGCAACTACACAATGAAAGACAGTCCCTGTGCTAGTGGGATCCAGTTCCAGCTGGGTCCTGCAGATATTATCACAATACAAATAGCTCCATTGGTGCCCTGGAGGCAGGCTTGTTATTGACCTCTCTTGATCAGATCTGGGGACTAAAATGGGGTCGAAGATAGCTTTTTTCCCTCTACGAACAAAACAACCCATAAAGAAATGCAAATTTGGTGCATTCCTTCGTCTCACTTCATTCTCCAAAACAAGATAAAAGCATACAAGAAATGCTCAGTGTCTCTTCTCTTCCAACACACCGTATCTTCATCCTTAAATCTTACTTATAACACTGGCTAGGCAGTAAGTTCTGATCTCTGATGTTTGTGTGCAACACTCATTAAACTCAAAAGGTGCTGCATATGCAAGTACTTTAGCATGCCTTTTAAAGGCAGAACAAATAAGAACATGACCATAGCATTTAAGCATGGATTACTCTGTATATTGAAATTCTGCATTTACTCCTCCTCAGCTCCTGGGAACTGACCCTTGTGGTTCCTATTTGCAGCTGCCCACTGTGATTACCTTCCCTATTTGGGACTGGTTTGAACACTGTAGGCTTGTTTCCCTATGAGACTTTTCTGAAACTTATTTCTATCCTTTGTTCATAGCTTTCATATTACAAAGTAAGAGAACTGTGAGAAGAAAGAAAAAGCAAAATAGCAAAATGCCAGTAAGTTATTTGGGGAGATAACTACCTCCTACAAAAAAGAAAAAAAAAAGGGGAGGGAAGCCCTCTGACAACTACTCCTTCGTTTACATAAAATTCTAAAGAAATAAAAGAAATAAGAGTTGAAACCTGGAGACACTTAGGAAAGAAGATCAGATAAGAAAATAGTTTATCAAATCTCTTAAGAGTTGAAAAGTTCCTGCTTATGAAGGGATAACAGAGAATCACTTCAGTCTTAGTTTCTAAACCAAGAAGACAAGATGCTCTTCAAATTGATGACATTTAAAATAATTCTCTATCCCTTTGCATATACTTTCTACAGAAACACAGCTGGAGGACATCCCTCACTTCCCCCACAGGATCCTCTGAGCTCCCCCTCCAGTCTGGTATCCCCTCTTTCAGAGCTTGTAGTGGTTTAGATAAGGCAACTGCCAAATGACAATTTCAGTCTGTCAACCCTAGGACACAGGCAGACCAAACCTTAATTCTTGCTTGTAAAACTTCAATTATCCCACGAGAGAAAACCATCTATTATCTAATAGGCACTTTACAGTTATCCTAAGTAACTTTACTTAACAAGTTAGCAACATTGCTGGTATTTCCAAAGCCTGCTCTGATGTGATGTTACAGTGTTTAATAAGATTACTATTTCACGTCAGCAATAAAATCCTTCAAAATCCAAGGCCAGCAAACCCTGAGTTGAAGAAATCTTTCTTTGCCCCCAAACTATCTCGTTTTTATCAACAAAGAAGTTTCATATGTACAGATATATATGCAGTCATACAGCTAAGAACAAGATCCTTCTCATTTCATCTTGCATTTCTGTGCATCTTTGTACTTAGCCTACTGATGCCTACCTCCTCCTTTACTCTCACTGTGATCTCCACTCACTAAACCTATGCACAATGCTTGCTATCATCAACTACTCTTTTTGCGAAAAGGTAAGGAATTCTGGGCAGGACTACTGCTATTATCACAGGCTGCCTCCTAGGATTATCTGGACATTTCATTTACTATAAATAATAGCTCTAAGATGACTCTTGTGACAATCCATGGTATTGTCATACTCTATTTCTCACCCTAAGGTATCTGACATGCAGATATGTGCTGTAGTCGCTGTGCCCATAGCAGGTTACACAAATCTTTGAACACAAGACATCTTCTGCATGACTACTCTCAGTGGTCTATGTTCTCCCTCCTAGACCTGAACTCCAATAAAGTTGCATTTCAACTATACAAAAAAACTAGAAACCCCAACAACAAGGACAGTGAAGTCATGGAAAACCTAAGACCTCTTTGCTATTCCATGTCCTTGAGACTTGATGCTGGGCATTTTCAGCAACCACAGTTCTCAGATTTTGAGGGAAGGAAGTGGAAACGTTTTTAGTGAACCTAAGCATGTATCTGGCCCTTCTGGAGAAGGAGAGAGTGGAAGAGAAAAAAGAAGAATAAAACCAGGACAGATCAATGTGGCACTGGGACCTGTTTCTGTTCCTGTTCCTACCCAAGGATGCAGAACAGAACTACTGAGAAGTGTAATGCAACTTAGGAAGGAAAAATGCTGAAGATCAGAATGTATTTAAGTCACAATTCCATCACAAATGTTTCATGTTCATTTTTTTGTCCAATCTTGAAGTCTCGCTAAGGAGAGACTGAGTGAAGGAAAGTAAGGAAGTGTTATCAGGAAGTTTTTTTCTTCTCTTTTCTCAAATTCCACATTTCTACACTTTATTCTACACTATTTTATTCTATTCTACACTATTTTATTCTACACTACTTTATTATTTGAACTAATATATTGAAATCAGAAACATCCCTGAGAGAGGTAAAAAAGCTCAATATTTAAGAAAGTCACTATGCCAAAGATTTTTTTCTTACTGCCATCACTACATTTCTCACTGTTGTCTCAAAAATGAGAATCTTCTAAGTATTATCCCTTAGAAACTTGAGATTAGTTTTTTTTTAGCTAGATTTTCCTGATTGACAGAGATATCAACAGCATGGAAAAAGGGAAAAATTGCAAATTTCTATCTGCATATTTTAAAATGCTAATTTGAAGAGCAAAACTGAGATTTCTAGAAAAGAAGGCATGGAAAAGTAATTTTTCTGTGGTGTGTACTTGAAAGTACTTGTTTGTAGTCAAGTTTACTGCCTTCTAAAAAACCCACTTTTAAAAAGCGTGGGTTTAGAAGAAGATTAATCAGCTTGTTTCACCTTTCAAAAGGGCTCCAACAAGTAAGAACAGAAGACTCAAAGCCACTGCATCATCAGCTTACACTGCACCACCGGCGTAAACTGGTGTTAACATCAGAAGAGTCTCTTTGCAGAAGCATCTACACTGGGTCAAGGGAGAATGTGCAAGGCTGAAGATGGCTGTTACGTGCCTCACATAGGCCATCAGGAGGTCCTTGTGGAAAGATACCCTGAGATGACCCCCAGACCTGCCAGGCAGCAAAGCCACGAGATGGTAACTACGGCTGAGCAAAGACTGAAACAGAGCTTAAGAAGCCAACACTATTTCCCCTATGCTCCAAGGAGTGATTTCTAGCATACAGGCTAGATAATCCAAACTTAAAGCAAGCATCTGTGGTTGTTGGTTTTTTTTTTTGCTTTCCTAAGTGAAATGACCCACTGAGAAAGTTTTCACATCCACACAGTTTAGTGACATTGCAAAAGCAGCATGTTGCTCTGTTAGTTCTAAAGTGACAGCACTTAGGCTGCAAAGTTGAGAGCTCAGAAGTTAGTAAAGTACGTTGTGCGCAAAGTTCAAACTCCTTTCCGTGCATATGAATGTAGACATTGGCTTCAATTGTGTAATTGCAAAGAATTTTTCTTCCCTTGGGGCTGTCACATATACTTAGGGTACGACAACACATATATGCACATATACCTAGGGTATGACAAACAATATATTGTTTCTGAAGACAACTTACATTCTTTGGACATTCCCACTTCAAAGCACTTCTGTAGTCTGCAGTACTGGCAACGATTTCTGGTAACTTTATTGATAACACAGTTCTTATCTCTATGACATGTGTAAACCATATTCTTCTGGATACTCCTGCGGAAGAAGCCCTGAAATCAAGAAAAAAAGAAATCAAATAAACCTTTAATAAACCTTTGAGCTTCCCATAACTCTTAGAGACAGGCATTAACATTGATTTAAAATAACAAAATAAATTCAAAGTTATAGTAGGAAAATAGAGCCCTACATTTTTATAAGAAGGTTCAAATAAAAACTGAGCTGGGTAAACTATGCTTTCTTAATTGATCCACTTGGAAGTCTAATACTCATCCAGCAACCAAGGGTGTCTCTCAGCCTAAAGATTCCTTTTTTTGTTGTTTTTTTTTTAATATCCACATACATTCGGTAGTTTGAATGCTGCATGTTAACAAGTGAAATCATTTGAAACCCAGGTCTTTTAGGTGTCCGAACTCCTACAGCAATTAATTATGCTTCTGCAGGTAGAAGAGTTCCAGCATCAGGTTATTGAGTTATAAACTTGTAAAAGTCACCAATTACAGCATTTTTCTTATTTAGATACAGCTGTGAAAATAATCCTGTAATTATAATGATCTTGAACAGAAATTAAGGAGAACTAGAGGTCTGGTTTATACTCAGGGAACAACAATTGCCTCGATTCCTCCTTTGGCAAGTAAAAAACAGTCATAAATGGCAAGGCTAGCTGGCACAGAAAAAAAGGCAAAACTGAGTTAATTTCTTTATCTGAACTAAAAGACAAGCTGTAGATAATATCATATAATAACGAAGAAGAAAAAAGAGGATTACTTTAAGCATTTTAGAGATCTATCCCCAGATATTCAGTGAAAGTATTTCTGTAACAGACATCTGGACATTTGACAGTACCATTTAACCTTCTCACTCAGATTTTGAAAATCATTTCATCAAGTGCCAGGGTCACATTTCAGTCAACATCATAGCATTATGGAAGAAGAGTTAGCAATTTAATATTTGTTGGAGGGCTTGAGAGGTTAAGGCTCTTCAACCAGTCACATGTTTATACCCCACAGGGAAGTGGTAAATGCGATGCCACAGATGATAGCTCTGTACCCACAATGCATATGTCTGAAGATGTAATCATAGTAAGCTATAAAATTGGCTCTTCTAAAAGGAATCGCAGAGATTTAAGCAGTTCAAAAGCCCCAAACTCTGTCATTCAGAGTTAACTGAGAAAGTTTCTGGCCATACAATCAGGGAGTGGTAGGGCAGGCACGGTCAGTAAGGGATAGTCATAAATTCCTTGCACACCCAACATGCTATAGATGCTAATGTTATGAAAATACCTCAAAATCACTCAGAACTGAAAAATGCCTCTTAATCATGCAACCTCTGGCAAGAGTTTTCTGCTTTCTTGCACAGGCAAGCCTCATCCTGAAGTTAACTTCTCTGATTTAGAAGATAGTTAATAGAAACATCAAAGAACTAACAAAAAACACTTCGCTTATTTCTTAAGCTACAGGATACAGCAGAAGTATTTAAAGCCATTTGTTTAGATAAATAAAACTTTTAAAAGTTATCGATAACACTGCTACCTTATATTCCCTACTTGGCTCATTAACATTGCTTTAATGTTTGCAAGGGAAAATAAGTAAGAGAGTACATTCCTTTATTGCAGAGAAGAAAATGTATGCTAATATCTACATACTAGTTTCTTGCTTTGATAGTCCCCTAATTGCAACACCTGACTCTCTAGTAATTGTTGATGATGCTAACTAAAACTGTGAGAAGTCCCTGACGTCTGCTTTAGTTGAGTTCAACAGAGAGAAGCTGTGAACTATCCTGGTTTGAGGGTCTCCATAAGGCTTACTGGCCACCAAATCTTAGGTGGCAGGAGGCAGGGTAAGCCAAGACTGGTAGCTTGCCCTGAAGTCATTCTGATTTAATCCATTCCTAAATGCTGCTGACGGAATAAAATTCCTAACATCAGCTGGACATGGCAGGATGCAGAATGGCTTGGAAAAAACAAATATAACAGTCGTGCAACAACTGTCTCACCACACTGAACAACTGGAGTAATTTAATATAAGCAGCTCTTAGAGCCTCCCTGTTGCATGCATGTTCCTTTGGGCATCAGCTGTCAGTCACCCATGCTCAAGCAACTTCAGATTTACTGAAAGAGGAACTACTCAAAATTCAAAAGTCAGAAGTGTCACCCAATACCCATACAAAAAAGGGTGAACAAGTTCCCCCAAATATAACTGTACTACACCCAATGTAAGCAGAGGTTAATGTGATCCACTGAATGATCATTTGTTCTCATATTTAGACACAGGCTCTTTTAACCTAGGGTCTAATTACAACACATCACGACAGAAAGTAGCGAAGGCTACTTCAGCCCTTAGCACACAAAGTTGACCACAAAGCCAAACAGAAGAAGGAGATCTGACTTCGGCAGATGACAAGCACAAAGCATTCATGAACTCATTGCTAATATCAAAGGCTTAAGAGAACACAGAAAAAGCAGATATCCAGGTTGAAATTAAGAGTTCCTACAACAGCCTAAGTTCTCCAGGACATATTCTACATAAAATGAAATATACAGAAGAAAGCATTGTGGAAGCTGAGATTGTTGTTTTACAGACTCTTTCACCTGCATTTGATGTTCTTCCTGAGTTTACTCACGAAACAGAAAGAAAAGTGAATTTGATAATGTAAAATCTTTAATTTTAAAAAAGCTGTAATGTGGTTCTGCTCAAAACTAAGGACCTGTTTCCCAGGGACACAATCTTTAAGTACTTTTCTGCAAGACAATAGTGAGATACTACTTCCATTTATATTTGTGGTAAGTTCACCTTAAAACCTCAACAGTCTGCCACTAAAAAGACTTGATCTGTCTCTGGCCAGGCACTAAGAAAAAAGCGCAGATTATAAATACTATTCAGTTTCTTTGCATACAAAAGCCAAAACAAAACCATCAAACAGAGCAATAGGCCATTCTGCAAGAACAAAATGGCAAGCAGTTTTTATGTAGTTCTGCAGCTTGGTTTTGAGAGCTGCCTCCACAAGCCTTGCACTGTGAGGGAGCAAGTGTGGGGTGGCACGGCCAGCAGGGTCATGCCCAGATGGTTTCCCAGATCTGACGGTAAGCTGACAAAAGTATTTGCTCACAAGGAAAAACCTCAATCCCAGAAAACTGTTCAGAACTTTGGGGATTTTTTTTCTCTGTCCAGTTTGTCTCACCTCAAGCGTCAGGTTTATAGTGTGGGCCATAAACACGAGCAGACACACTCCAGGCACCCGAGATCATGCACAGGCCTGGCTCAGTGCCACGTCACACATGGGGCCAGCCTAAGGGATGAGCACAGAAGACACTGATTTGCGCACAGGGCCTGGCCACAATAGGAAGGCAGTCTGCCAGCAACTATGAAAAATGGCTGCTCGTCTCCAAAACTGAAGGGCCGGCAGCTTGCACCACTTTAGTTTCTGTGCCCGCTCGCACTGCGCTACAACAAAACCTAAGTACAAGCACTTTGAGCATATCCCCCGGCAGGTATGTGACAGGCTTGCACTTGACTGTGGCTCCTCCTCATTCCCAAAGTATTTGACTCACTGCCCCACTGAGGATGTGACGAACTGCCCGTGGCAGTGTGGCTTCCTGCTGGTCTTGTTTCACAGATTGCAGCAAGAGCGGGAATGAGACAGGACAGGAGTCTGCCTTTGTCCCAGCGCAGGTACCTGCACATCACCTGCTTTGGCTCTGCAGCCAGGGACTGCTCTGTGGGTCACAGTAATGGGCCGGCTGGGAACCCGCTGCCCTGCAGTGCAGAGAAGCCCAAATAAACCATGCCATGGCTGCCTTCCGAATAGCGGAGAACTGCACACCAGTGTCCACACTTCTTCCTCACTCTCACATTGAGGTGGGAGGCTAACACCACCCAGTACTGTTTATATCCAGTCTGTTTGCCCTATGTTCACTAACAATCTTAGAACCACAGAATGTCTTGGGTTGGAAGGGACCTTAAAGATCAGCTAGTTCCAACGCCCTGCTGCGAGCAGGGCTGCCATCCACTGCATCATGCTGCCTGGGCCCCATCCAGCCTAGCCTTGAATGTCTTCAGAGATGGGGCATCCACAGCTCCTCTCAGCAGCCTGTGCCAGTGCCTCACCACCCTAAAATAGTGAAGTGAGAAATGAGTCTACTTTTTCAAATGACTTTAATCTGAGCTCACGACTGCAACAGGTTCCTTAAAAAACACAAAAGAAAGTCTGAAAGCAACCTAACCTTAAGATGTCAGAAATTTTGGAGACAGCAAACCGTGCAATCACTATCTGTGTATTAATGGACTTCAAGTGCTTCTGGGTTTTTGGAAAACAAATACATTCACCCCAAAAGGAATTTGTTCTGCTCAATATTTACGTGAACAATTTCTTAGGCAAATATTTGAGCAACTCTCACAAATTAACACTCTGGAGATGAGACACTCCTGTGCCAAAGACAAGCACAGATGATTCTTTGTAATTTAAAATATGCTATGAATATAAAGACAAAAGCTTTCTGTGAGACATAAAATGTTACTGTGATACATAATTGGTTTTGATAGCACCTACAAAGTGCTTGAATTTCAAATACAGAAACATACCAAGACCTATCAGGAACACTGATTTGCTCCAATATTCCTTTTATCTGCAACTTTTGAAAGGAGCATAGAACTCATGTTTTTATTTTCACAGAGACAAACAAAGCTTCAGAGAAATCACACTTTTGAATTAATTCTGTTCTTGTGAGCTGCAGTTACTGGCAGCCCTTACACAAAGCATTTTGGATAGACATTTCAATTTTTAATCTCATCTTTTCTGCACACCATGCCGTGTTCCTCCCAGGCCCACCAATCTTGTTATCTTAATGGATGACAGATAGAGTATCACTCTGACCATGCCACATTAGGCGTCCTCATTTACCCAGCGCAAGGAAAAAATGCTGAGTATAAATTATTCAGAAATCTATTGTATCAGCGTGTGTTCTCCGAGCATTCAGCACTGGCACAGCAGACAGATTATTTTTCACTTTTAATTGTGTTGATATCTTATCTGCTGCACTGAAAGCAGAGAGGGA